AAAAATGTACAAAATGATGTAAAAATAAACTGTTATAAAATAAAAAAGAAAAGGAGTATGATCACTGGATCATATAATACTAGCTTTTTGAAAAAATTCCATCCAAAGTGGCAGTACTATTTTGCAGTCTCACCTATAAGGAATGAGAGCATCCATTGGCCCACACCCTCACCAGGCTATGGTAGTGTCAAAGTTATCAGATATTCTAATAGCATAAAGGCATAAACTGATAGCACAAGGCCTCCCTGGTGATCCAGGGGTTAAGTCTCAGCATTATCACCATGACAGCCTGAGTTTGATCCCAGCCAGGAAGCTGACCCACATGGTGCAACAGACCTGTTCTGCTGCCCATACTCTGTTTCTGGTGAATCTTCTCACCCCATCTCTATACCCCTGGCCTGTACCCCAGTTATTCTACATAAAAATAGATCTCAAAAAAATAAACTGATGACATAAATTCTCGCATAATGTGCTATATCACATGTTTTCATAAGTTTATTAGCATATCTGCAAATCTTTAGTGAAATCTATGTTTTACTATTGGGTTTGTTCATTTTCTGGTTGTTTAGCTCTGAGTGATTTTATTCTTTATCTGGTATGTGTTCTGTAAACACTCTTGCCTTGCCCCATTTATCATTGCTATTGGATTTTTTTTTCTCATTTTCTTAATAGCTTTTGTCTTTCACAGAGCAACTAATCAACAGTTTCTTCTTGCATTGTGTCACTTTTGAAGCTTTTTTTTTAAGATTTAATTTATTTATATATACAGAACTAGGTTACAGGCCAAAGGTGCAGGGGTGGTGAGAGATTCACTACAGAGTGGGGAGTTGAACAGGCCGACTAATGAACACTGCTGAGGAGAGCAGCAGGCGAGCCAGGAGAGGACTGCCGTGCCATGTGTGGTCACCTCTGGGGCACGGACTGAACTTATGCTGAAGTGGCTTTAGCCTCTTAGTGCTGTGCTTTAACCCTCTGCACTACCAGGGAGGGCCCCCTGAAGCTCATCTTTTAAAAGTGAAAGGCTTTAGATGTCACACTATTCAGTCTGCAAAGTCAGGTTTGCATGTATGAATATTAGACCCTTTCACTGGAACAAATTTCAAAACTGAAGAACAACTACTATCTCTATATTCAAAATACAAAACTTAGTCAAATGTGTAGGAATCCTGTTGAAATGCAGTAAGGAGAAATTACAAAACTAAGGCAAAACTTACTTAAATGAACAGACTTCATTTTGCAGTGAGACATGAAGTCAGCAAACTACTATCAAAGTAGCAACTAAATAAAACACTTTAAATTTTGTTAATGCTGATAAATGTAATTTCTCTAAAGAAAATATGCCAAGGTAAAATATCCAGGCATTACTTGTCTATTATAAAAGATCACATGTGGGCCCTCCCTGGTGGCGCAGCGGGTTAAAGCACAGCACTAAGAAGCTGAAACCACTTCCACATGAGTTCGATTCCCGCCTGCCCCGGAGGTTTCCACATGGTGTGGCAGACCTCTCCTGACCCGCCCGCTGCTCCCCTCAGCAGTATACTTCATCGATCTGCCTGTTCTGCTCCCTGCTCTGTCTCTGGTGAATCCTCTCACCCTCCGCATCTCTGGCCTGTACCCCAGTTCTGTATGAATAAATAAATAAATCTTAAAAAAAAAAAAGATCACATGTATGACATGTTAAAGGCAGGCAAGACAAAATTAGAAAATATAACTCGCTTGTACACCAAGAGAACCATGTTAAGATAAATTATAAAAAAAATTATGAGTAATTAGTTTTCCCAGGTACTATGCTTGATACTAAAGGGGATACAAAGATGAACTCAGAATACACTAAGAGGAAGAATCAACACATGTAAATTCAGTATTCCTCAAGTCACTTCAAATAAAGTCTGTCTAAATAGAGGCATTCAATTTCTGGGCAATACTAATGTGGAAATACTGAATTCTGGTATTTCCATTGGAAATTTTATATACATACATACATATACACATATATACATAGGTATACGGGGGTAAGCTAAATTGAGAAAAACTATAAATGACATACACTTCCTCAAAAATCCAGCTATCATCCCTACTCAGAAACACCTACAGTGATGGAAAAACTCAATACGTATCATTTGAAATTTTGAAACACAGGCACAGGTCAGAAAGGTTCTTTGTCAAGGAGGCATAATGACTGCAATCCTAAGATAAAATGCACTGTATTAAGCTGGCTAAGTGAAACCAGCATGCTTTCTGAATACTTCCTATCAGTGAGCAAAATGGAAAAGAAATTACCAGGTAACCAATCAAAGTAATGGTTGCAGGAAAATATTATCTCCTCACTGAAATAAATGGGTACTAGCCCT